ATAGACACACACACACACAAACACACACACACACAGATACCACACACACACACACACATATATTTATATATATAGATACAAACACGCCCACGATGACATGACAAGCATAGATACACACACATACACATACACATACACACACACACACACACACACACACATATATATATATAGATACCCATACACACGATGACATGACAAACATAGATACACACGCACACGCACACGAACACACACACACACACAAATGGACACATACACATACACACATACGCACACACAGACATACACACACACACATATATTCGTATACGCCCACACATAGACACATACGCACACACATATATACACACATACATACACACGCACACACACGCAGACATGAATGTAATGGGCCAAAGGACGGTGAAGTATTGAGTTGGTTAGTAGACGTCAGGTGAGTAAAACCCTAAAACTTTCAACCCTTAACCCTACCTACTGTGGTTGTTAAAGTACAATGCCGACTGTTCCGCACATTACTACGTGGGTGTGGGGAGGTGCTTGCTGTAAACACTCGACCTTTTAGGCGGTCGCAAACCCTAAACCCTAAACCTTAAAACCCTAAAGCACGTGTAGCACCGTTGGGTCAGTGGTCATATGCAGGCTCGTTTGTAAGGCGTGTAGGTAATCGAAAGTCTGTGCACATACAGAGTGTGAGTGCTCGAGGGATATCAGCAGAACTACACACAAGAGTTATTGTACACAAACCTACATGCTTGTAAGCGCGTACACGCATATACATACACGTATGTACACGTTTACGTATGAGGGTGCGTGCTAGATTACATGAACATACACGTACATAGACGATATACATACACGTACATATACAACGTACATATACATACACGTACGTATACATAGTCGAACATATATATACACATACATATACATACACGTACATATACATACACGTACATAAATATACACATAGGGACATATACATATACACACATATACATACACATACATGTACATACACATAGACCTACATATACATACACAAAAACGTACGTACACATATCCATACATATGCATACACATACACGTACACGTACGTACACATACATATACATACACATACACGTAAATACACATACACGTACATATACATGCACATAGATATACATAACCGTACATATACATACATACACATACATACACACACATACACATGCACATAAATTCACATACACATACATACACATCCATACACACACATGCACATACATACACGCTTGCTAGCATTTGTCCGCAGGTTGCGATGTCCGACCACTTGCTCCCATAAGTGTACCAATTCGTACACGTTTGAGAACACACACGCACATGTCACATACACATACACAAATATGTTACATTGACATACACACATATAACATATATGCATACACAATTATAATAGATTTATATACACACATATAATAGATTTACATACACGTGTAGTTCATATACATACATACATAGGATACATATACATACACGCATATGGTATGATACATATACATACACGCATATGATATGATACATACACATACACAAATATAGTACATATACACACACACATATAGTACATATACATACACACATATCACACATATACACACACACATATAGTACATATACATACACGCATATGACACAATCCACACACCTTCTGAGTCTCATCCACATCAATCCATGGTCCCACATAGCACATGACCACATAGGCACTGCTGGTGAACACAAAGTGCCGCACGCCCACTTCTTTAGCGGCTGCAATCACACACTTGGTACCTAAAGTGAGGTTAGGGTTTAGGGATTAGGGTTGTATTTAGGGTTCAAGTAATAGCACATGACCACATAGGCACTGCTGGTGAACACAAAGTGCCGCACAACCACCTTCATTAGCAGCCGCAATCAAGTACACGGTACCTACTGTGATGGTAGGGTTTAGGGTTCTAGTCACTTGGTTAATAAAATTAATAAAACGCATAATATATATATATATACGTACATGTAATATGTAAATCCATAAATGCATAGATACACAAAAACACAAATACATAAATAAACAAATACATCAATACATAAATGTATGAAGACGCAAAAACGTGTGTATGTATGAGTACATGAACGTATACAGATACTTAATGCGGTTACGTTTACGTTTACGTTAGCCGTACCTTTGACATTGACATCAGACGCAGCTCGATCGCTTATCCACGGCTGTTGAGAGAGAAAGAAGTTATCACAGGAAATGAAAACATCAGTGTAGAAGTAGGGGTCTATATGTACACACACATATACATACATACATACAGACAGACATGAATACATAAATACATACAACACACATACATACGTATATATATATACATATATACATACATGCGTAGGTACATATATACATACATACATATATACCGACATACATACATACATACATATACACATATATACATACGTACGTAGATACATATATACATACATACATACATACATACATACATACATACATACACACACACATATAAACATCCATAAATACACACATCCCTACATTCCCACATGTACACGCAAAAATAGATGCATACATACACACATACACATACATACACATATGTACACGCAAACATAGGCACATACATAGACACACACACACATACATACACATACGTACACGCAAGCACAGATACACACACATACACACGCATGTTCCGCGAAAAATAATGTTTATAACCGACTGACTAAATATATCATGTGATATCTCACGGGTGAATACTAATGGAATCTATAAACGTACACATATCTTAAACGTAAATTTATCAAACCCATACAGCAGTAAAGCGACATATACATAAGCACACACCAACATAACACGTACCTGCAGACATGCACACACACACCTGCAGACATACACACACACACCAACATAACACACACACACCAACATAACACACACACACCAACATAACACACACCCGCAGACATGCACACACACACACCAACATAACACACACCTGCAGACATGCACACACACACACCCGAGGACATGCACACAAACACCAACATAACACACACACACCAACATAACACACACCCGCAAACATGCACACACATACACCAACATGACATACAACTACATATACGCTCTTTATATCTCCGTTGTGTCTTCTACCACACCTACGACACCTACAATACTAAACCTCAACCCTAAACCCTACCCACCTGACGGCGTGTGCTGGCTGCATGGAACACATCACCCATGCCATTAACTGCAACCCTAAACCTTACCCACCTGAAAACCCTAAACGTTACCCTAAACCCTACCCACCTGATAGCGTGTGCTGGCTGCATGGAACACAGTGTCCATGCCATTGACCGCCCTACGCATGTGTGTGGTGGAGGTGACGTCTGCGCGTATGTACGTGATACTGTCGTGGTAGTCGGCGTCGTTCTCACAGGGTAGTGAGGTGTCTAGCACGTAGACGTTGGCGTCACAGGTGTGCGGGTGACTCAACAGCTCATCGACTATGGCACGGCCGATGAATCCTCTGCCTGTGCCCACAGCCGATGGGAACGTGTGGGTATGTTTTAGGGA